AGAAATTTTGCCTAATATCCAATCTAACCCTCCCCTGGCGCAACTTGAAGCCATCTCCTCTCGTCCTATCACTAGTTACTTGGAAGACATCACAGCCCAGGACGTGCCAGGGTGGCTGGTAAAACAGTCTTGACGGGACAAGGGGACATGGTTTTAAACTGGAAGAAGGTAGGTTTAGATTGGAGATAAGGGAGGAATGTTGTACAATGAGGAGATTGGAAGAGGTTGCCCAGAGAAGCTGTGGATACCCCATCATTGGAAGTGTTCAAGGTCAGGTTGGACGGGGCTTTGAGCAACCTGACTTAGTGAAAGACATCCCTGCTTTCAGCAGGGGGGCTGGACCGATGATCTTCAAAGGTCCCTTCCAACCCCAACCATCCTATGGTTCCATGAAAACCCAGCTTCTTCGCCAAGCAACCTTACAGCCCTATCAACCTGCGGTTCACCGCTGTAATGCCCGCACCCGCGCGCCCAGCTCCGGCCCAGCCACCGTGGGCACGGTCAGAGAGGAACAAGGGAGGGGGCTCGGGGGGGTCAGGCAGACGCGTGCCCCGCTCCTGCAAGCAATGTCACCGAGAGCAGCACGCGGGCAGCAAATTTCGGAGGGATGCAGCTGGTCTGCCTCCGGCACGAGGCAAAGTGGCCGAGCACAATGCCCCTCTTCTCTGTGGCTTCAGCCCTTCTCTCCCCACCATCTCCCTCGGTGAGGAGGACACCAGTGGCCTTTCCGAATCACTGGGGTGCGTGCGGCAGCTCAGGCCTTTCTGCGGAGCGTTGCAGGCATCGCAAACCCACCCGGGTTTTTGGACCACGGATGTCTTGGGAGGGAGAGGAACCCTCCAACACGCAGCAGATATTTCGATGGGGAGGACGATTTCTGCACTCAAGCGTAATTCACACAAGAGCTCTGTGCTACCAATAAACTTAATGATTTTCTCTTCTATTCTCCAGCACCAAGACCTTAGCGGCAGAGCGGCACACAAAAAGCTCTCCCAATCGCTCCTGTTCCTATGGCAACTCGTCCTCCTCCTCCTACTCTTCCCCCATCACGTTTTCAGATGGAACAACAAAATACCAACTGAAATACTGTGAGTGCCCATAGCTCTCCGGATCCTACACCAGCAAAGTTTGCAGAAATTAAAAACCTCACTTCTGCATTGTGGTGGTTTCACTGGGGGTTGTATTGTCCTCATTTAGTTACTCTTGACAAGCCATGGTCTTGCTTGAAAGAAGGTGGAAATGGCAGTTAAAAATGCAGAAAACCGTCTCATTAACAGCCCCAAGCCTCTCAGCTGGCTTGCAAAATAAGGAGAGCTTCCATAAAAAAATGGAGGGTGGTTAAACCCTGCGATGGGGAGAGAAGTCAGTAACATTTAGTGAAGGTCTTTGTGGGAGTCTGATCTTCAGCCAAAGTCTAGCCAGCTCCCTCCGTGCTTTGGATGCACCTGAGCATGGCAGTAATGACCTCCAAAGCCCCAGAACCACGATTTAACAGCGAAACGGAGAAGCTTCTCATTGCCTTGAAAAGCCACCCAAGCTGGTGCCAGATCTCATGCAGAACCTCCCTCCCCAGTTTTGACCAATACATACATGTTACTATCAAAAGTCCTTACAGTAAACATCAGCTGGCAGCCTCCCAGGATGTAGTCCAGGAAGGAGAAATCTCTGGTTATCTGAAAGAAAAACCCAAAAAAAGTGTTTCAGCAATCTTCACCGTTGCAGAACAAAAAAATAAATACATGGGAAGTGCCCAAGCCTGCAATGAATGCAAGTCTGGGCCTTTGGGGACCTTCAGCCATGCAGCAAAGCAAATGGGAAGAACCACTTGGGTCTCTTATGGCAGTGTTTTGGCACTTCATGAGACACGTGGGGCCAAGCAGGGCCATGTGTTGGTCCAAAGCTGGCATAGAAGGCCTGGACAAGGATCCCTGAGGTCCTTGAGAGATCCTCGAGATCCTCTCCGCATGGCCAAAACAGTCTCACACCAGCTGCAGACCTGGTGTGGCAAGAGTTGTGTCGGCACGTTCCCCATCGTGCTACTACCATGCGAAGGGAGGACTTCACCAACGCTCCAGCTCAGGAGAAGGACCTCTCCGACCCACACCCAGCCCTCTGCCCCTAAGGAGACACCAAGCAGTTGGTAGACTTGCACAACTTGGGCTCCATGCAGACACTCCCCATGTTGAACAACCCCTCCTCCTGGGACTGTGACCACCCGGGCACAGTGTGGCATCAGCAAATCAGATGCTCCAAGTGGAGAGAACATGAGCCTGAACATGAGCCAGCAGTGTGCCCAGGTGGCCAAGGCGGCCAACAGCATCCTGGCCTGTATCAGCACTAGTGTGGCCAGCAGGAGCCGGGCAGGGATCGTGCCCCTGTACTCGGCACTGCTGAGGCCGCACCTCGAATCCTGTGTTCAGTGTTGGGCCCCTCACTACAAGAAGGACGTTGAGGTGCTGGAGCGTGTCCAGAGAAGGGCAACGGAGCTGGTGAGGGGTCTGGAGCACAAGTCTGATGGGGACCGGCTGAGGGAACTGGGGGTGTTCAGTCTGGAGAAGAGGAGGCTGAGGGGGGACCTTATCGCTCTCTGCAACTACCTGAAAGGGGGG